TGAATACTGGAAGTGGGGAAATAAATCATTTGGGCTAAATCATAGTTATGTGTTGTCTTTTACTTCTTAAAGTGGACATTTTACTCCATGAAATATTTAGAAAAATCGAGATATGTAAGTTGAATATAAATCCAAATAGTATTGAATATACCTTTTCTTTACTGAAAATTCTAATGCCAGCTTCTGTAACAGATAAACCATAAAATCACAGTGACTCAGTATGATAGAATTATTTGTCACACACACTGTCCAGTTAGAATGTCTGATGGGCCAGTTTCTATGTGGTGACCGAGGGAACTGGACTCTTCCCGTTGTTGGCTCTGCTGTCTTCCATCCATGGCATGTGGCAGAGGGGCGGGAGAAGGTGGAGCAGGCACACCTGTCTCTGCATCAGGCCCGCTTCCCACTTATGTCTGCTGGTTAAAGCTGGTCTAAAACCTTCTTTAGATGAAAGAGATGGAAATGTCCCTCTTCTTTATGGACTTCTATAAAGCTTCAATTACATACTGTGAATAACTTTTAAAGTTTTTTTAATTACCACACCTTCCCCCAAAGTGTCAAAAATGGCTATTTTAATGATTCTTCATTCTCAGGAATTCTTGTTTGGGTTTTAATTTCATTAGGAGACCAGATAATGCTGGAAACAATTTGTATCTGGGTTAAGGTGCATTTTTTCTTTGCGGTAGAAGGAATGTAAGTATAGGAAAGGAAAACAAACAGGAGGGTTCTATTACATCTTTATTGTATCTGTTGCTTGGGATCCAACTCATTGCATATATATGTATGGATGTATACACGTACACCCATAAATGGAATATTGTGGCAAAAATATTAACCGTTTCAGTCCTGATGTTTTCTGAATGAGTCCTGTGGATGTGTATGTCTAAGATGTGCTTGGTGCATGTTATGTTCAGTGGCTTGAGAGTTGCTAGTTATTTTAGGTCACTGGATATTGTGGATGCTGTGATTGGGCGGGTGTGTTTTGTGAGTCCTACTGTCATTAGGTTACAATGCCCTCTCATAAAAGCAGGAAAATCAAAAATTGTCCCACTCTTATTGTGCTTTTTTTTAAATGCCTGTTTAAAAACTTTCTCAAAATAGCCTTCTCTACGAAGATATATAAAGTCTACTTCTGCCTTATTAAGTCACTTGTGTTCATACTATAAATATTTCTGTTCAGGTGAATTCCCTCCATTTAGACAGTATCAGTTTGCTTGATTCAGTTGCCAGAAATATATTGTTTTGGGAACTAGGGAGAGGAGCCATGCTCTTATTAATAATTGCTAAATAGTACTGCCTCCTGGTAAATTGTGCAGAGGGATCCTAGGATAACATAGGGATAAAGCCATTGTATTTAGCAAATCAAAGGTCATTAATGGCCCTGACAGAGGAAGGAGAAACAGCCAAGATGATGTCAGGCGATTTGCTATTCTTGAAGCATGCCAGATTCTTTTCCTGCACGTGTGGCTTCCTTCACCACTAACAGTTTTTTCTCCACAGATAGTTACATGTCTCCCTCCCTCACCTCATTTAGGTCTTTGTTAAGACATCACCATCTTTCCTAGCCACTCTAAAACAGCACCCCCTCTGCATTATTCTCTAATGTCTACTTTATTTTTATAGGATTTTATGGTACCACGAATTTTATTGAAGCGTATATTTATTTAAGTGGCTTTTTTAAAAACAGATTTTAGAACATTTTCAGCATCCATAACCATTAGTAGTCAGTCATTCCCCAGTTCTCTCCATCTTCTTCTGTCTTCTCCTCAACACACTCCAGCACCAGGCAATCACTTGGCAAGTTTCTTAACTGACTTTTAATTATATAAACTTACTAGAGCAGGGACCTGTAGGTTTTGTTTCTTGTTTGACCTAGAACAGTGAGAGCAAATGATATGTATATGTGCTCATGACAAAAAGATATTTAATATTAGAATGGGAGTAATTAGCAGCAGCACATATTTATTTTAAACTAATGGTCAGCTGGGTCAGTTTTGGTCTAAAGTCATGAATTACAGATTTGAGAGATTGGTAGCAGTCCTGGGTCTTCCTACTTAACTTTTACACTACCGCAAGAGGGAGAACAATGGCAAAGTACTAGATAAAGCATGAAGGATAGTAACTATCTTATGTGTATATTTCAAGGTCGTAGATCTGCTAGTATCCATGTGTAGGTCTGCGTTGGAATCTCCTAGAAAAGTTGTCATTTTCGAGCCATATCCTTCTGTGGTAGATCCTAATGATCCTCAGATGTTGGCCTTCAACCCCAGGGTAAGTTGTGATCCTAGCACACCAGTCACAAAGCTTGCTTTAGCAGGAATTGAGATTTTAGTATCATTAGCTCTTTCTGTCTAAGTCTCTATCTCTTCAAGCATATCTGTGGTTATTTTAATTTTATTGTATATTTTTGGAGGTTCTGACTTACATAACCTTATTTTAATTTTAAACATCATGGGTAAAGGGACAAGTTTTCCTTTTCCTTTTGTGTTTTCACTTCAGTCCTCC